ACCACTCAGCTCGAGAAGCACCTTCTCATGCTCCTCCTTCGGTATGCAAAACAGCTCCGACGCTGCTCGATGAGCAAGGGAACCGCCATTTCAATGTGGAGCGACTCCTGAAACGACTTCGTCGTCAGGGTCAATACCAGTATCTGATAAAGTGGCGAGGATACCAGGAGTCGGGGAACACGTGGGATTTTGAGATACCCCTTCGGCAGGATTGCCCATACGCCGTTGATGTTTTTGAACATCGTGGAAGGGGCCATCCCTCGACCGAGAGCGCTTCTCGCTAATATTGGTGGAGGCAGATTGGTAGTTGGGAACCACTTGACCAACAACCACATCAATTGGCACAGCTGGAGCATAGCGTGTGCGAGTTCGCAACTGGCCTCTGGCCTTAAGCTTGGCGTAATCATACCGAAGCTTTTGTTCTGGACGAACATCTGCCACATCGGCACTTGCTCTGAAAGCTAACACGCTGCTGAGGTGTCGTTTCCGATGCACCCAGCGAACAAAAGCGTTGTCTTCTTCCTCCTGAGATTCGCCTGCAAATAGGAGGATGGGTATACCCTTCATCGGTGGAACCGGTGCACCCCGGGCTTGCGTGTCAAGTCGCAACTTGTATTGACTCTGAGTCGTCAAGTGAGGTGGCACGTACCATTCGCGAAGTACCTGTCGACTTGCCACATCATCAGAAGATGTTGGCTCAGCGCCAATGGCCCACATTGCCAAAGAACGACCTTTTGTTTGGCTTAAACGCTCTTCCACATTGAGTGGGGTAAATAGATAGCCACGACGACCCTCAAGAGTTGCAGCAAGCTGCATACAGCGCTAAGCGCTCTCCTCTCGTTCGATAGTTAACTGTTGTTGCTCATCGAGCGGATTGGTGATGATGGCATCGCCCACGATAAGTGTTTGATGCGGCGCCAATGGCGCATTGGCTTCGCCACGCTCGTCAAATGGGTTTGGTGCAATATGAGGCGGTGCCTCTTGCACTGGTGAGTCGGACATTGTCCTCTCTTAACCATGGATATCGGTATCTCTACCATAATCCACCTCCACATCGATGCCGAGGTAGGACAAGAGAGTCGAGGACCCATGAGGTGGCGATGCCATGGTGTTTTGTGTTTTGCCAATCGTAAGCTTGAAGCGCACACACACCGTCCTCTTCGAGGAAATAATTCGATTGACGTTTTGTGAAAACGTCAGTCTCGTGGGGGAGGGTGTAACGGGATTACACGTCGACTGGTAGTCGACAATAGGTGTGGTGCACACAAGGTATGGAATCCCCTTTATTTAAATATTAGAAAACAGTATCAATTGTTAAAGACGGATGTCTGTCAACAATTGGTTACGACATCTTTTAATAGGTTTATTTAGGACATTAGCGAGTAGATTAATTACGTTGTTCTAAGTTGTTCTTTTAGGTTAAAAGAAGAAATAAAATTCAGTTCCCATTTTGATCAACATAAGACACGATCCTTACGAGGCGTCTTGATCGGAAGAGATAGCTACGCCTGTAAAGGTAGCTGCTCTTGAGCACTCTGTGCTGTGATTCTCTTGAGTCGTGTGGTCCCCCTGGAACAGGGACCGTAAGATCTCTGAGCTTGTTGACTCTCTGAGTCGGGTTCGTAGAACCAAAGTTGCTTGTAGAGCGTTAAGTCTTACTCTAATTTAAGGAGCTGTGTAGATCCGCTTCAATAATTGTAACAGGTCTTGCACATGACTGTCAACCCTTCATGACCTTTCAGAAACAGTATTATCGAATACCGTTGCATGTGGAGCGTACCTGGTGATTGAATGTATCTGTATACACTATGTCAGCGTTGGTAGCTTGTATTTTGTCAGTACAAGCGAAGGGTGCCCCGTTCGATTAACCCGACTTTCGATGATAATGACTAGTCAGCATTGAGCCGAATCCCTGTCATATATATGTAGGAAGTAGGCAGATAACCGTACAGAAAAATTACGGGTCGGGCACTGACATAATCAGTCTGGAAAGCCAGTAGCTATTAGACATCCAAACTCCAGAATACGATGCTTTTCCTTATTCGTGGTTTACTGTACCCATGTCTTTTTTACGACTCTAGCGAAAACTCCATGCATCGCGAGGGATGGTGTGCATACAAAGAACAACACGTTTTTAGAATGTTTTACGCAAAGAGATGACAAGGGAATATGCGCACTAGCCATACCACGATTCACTAAGTTGCATTCTTGATTAAAGACAACATCACTCAAATTTGCGTGCACATTATCATGCCACGCTGTCAGACTACAGGGCACTAAGGTAGTTGCAACACGACTATCTCCGTCAGCTTAACATCTGACAGCTCTAAAGCAATCATCAATGATACCGGCAATGGTGTCTAAGAACCGTTAACCCAGAATTGTCTATTTTCGATCGACACGTGACATTGTGCCACGGGACCTTGTAGCCTAGAAGTGCCATCGCAGCGTACTTATCAAGCCGTCTTCCAATTATGGCGCCTGTAACGTATGTAACCTGGGCGGGGACACGGTCCCCAGCTTCACGCACAGTTGATCAATGAGCGACTGAGTTGTATTCTTGCAGGCGTACTGATCCCGTGAACCCTTTCATGTGACCAAGTTTGTGGCCTTCGTTTAGTGTGGTCTCGTATGCAGCTACCTTGAAAAATTGCCCGACCTCGAATCCAAAGTGATCCACCGCTATGGTTGGTGACCTTTCCTCTTCCATGAGCACATCCTTCTCCCACTCAAGGTTATCATGCTGTTATAAGTTGATGCATCTTTGTTGATTTGATCCTTGCTAGGTATAGTGCCTTCCTTCAACGACGAATATGCGCCATCTCATTCTGTTCTGCGGCGTGGCTACCATTTACAATCTCTTGCAGGTATTTCGACTACCATGATACTCCGTTGCGAGCCACCTATGCTATAAGTTCGCTATGCAGACGCGCCCCAGAGGGTAAGCTGCAGCACCACCTCCTCCTCGATCATTGGACATTTGGGGAAGTAGTGCTGCACACTTCGAATTCTGGATCAATGTACGAGCTCTGTACTAGTACAATAACACCGAGCAAGACGTAGCGCCCGAGCCGCGGGTTTGCTGAGTAAAAATTGTAGTCGCATTTTCACTCGGCACATTCTTCTCGTCTTCTTCTCGGCCATCGTTTTCGGCTGACAGTGTGCCAGTCGTTCATTTACGAACAGATGACTGGCATTCTGCTCTCGTCTCGCCACTAAGTCATCAGCTGTCAATTCTTGCGCCGCACGGCGAGCTTTCACTTTCCAAAGCGCCACGACTTATGTAATGTTGCATCTCAGTACTGTTAAAGTGACAATGTGCCTACCAAGTGCAGTCAAAGAGTAGCATATTAAGGCACCTGTCGCGTCCAACGAAAGCCCTGTAGTCCGTATCTCAGCGCCATGCCAACGTGAAAAGCGCTCTACAGCTACTCCCGAGTCCTCTGCATCTATAACATCAATGTGATCAGTGTACGATATACGCGCTAGTCGAGCAAGCATTGTCATAAACAAAAGTCCTCAGCTGCACAGGAGCACTGCGTCGCTCAGTGAAGACTTAGAGGCAAGAGCGCAGCGGCGATGAGGTCACACATTGCTGCATCCTCCGTCTGCACGCGCACGTAGCTCCGTGAGAGGTCAATGCAGTACAATCACATCGAAAACAAGACGTGAAGAGGGAGAACAAGAAGGAGGAGGAGGAGGAGGAGGAGGGAAAGAGGACGTGAGATAGCGGAAGGATACGTGAGGAAGAAGCGACTGCGGATTCTTTAGCGCAAGTCTAATTTCGAACACGTAAGAGCATCAACGAAAAACAATGAAGAGAGCGTTGGCGAGCGCAGCAGCCGCTAGATAGGGGTTGGTCGACCGCTCATGAGGAAGTAGGACGAAGACAAAGAAGTTCTAAGGTGCACACACGATGTAGTTTACACACACGATCTGTATCGTGAAGAGCAGGACGCGAGTAGACGGCGTGGTTGAATCGATTTGCAAGGGTTGTTGCATATTCAGATTCATCCATGAATTCTGACTGCAGATAATGCAATTCCGTCTTGAAGTGTTCGCAAGTGCAACTGCAGGATCAGCATTCATTGTCGGTCATCGCCTAAGCGGCTATGCCACCTCCTTCTCTTCGAAGGGTCCGGCTCTTTACTGCGAACTCAGCAGCTGTTTGTAACGTATCCATCGATCACACAACTTCAGATGTAGTCGTCGCGCCTGACTCGGGGCGTCATGCCAGACCCCGTCAAGATGCAGACACACGATCCTCACCAGTGCGCGCACAGAAGCCAAAAGCAAAGTGCAACTTTTATGAGAAAACCGAGCGCTCTATATCAGCTGAGTGCGTACGATTGTGATGAGGCAAAGTTCCGTGACCACGCTGCAGACAAGGTGCCCAGGGTCGATATGCAGCACCAGTAAGGCTTAATCATTCGTACGTGTATATATCTGGCGAAAAGATACCACGTGTGTGTGTGTGCTAAGAAGCGTTTCCATGCGGGCGATACAATGTCCTCGAAAATGGCGACACTTCTTTATTGATAAAGAAAAAAGAGGAACTGGTGATGGTCAGCTCGAGCTTTTTCTGTTGTCCTGGCGGCACACAAAGAAACAGAACATCATACGTAGTGAGGAGGCTGCAGCATACGCAAGTGACGCCGCATGACTGTCAAGTTTGATGTGCTGCATTGACATACGCTTGATCAGTGATAAAGACATTCGATATATTTGTTAACCGTTGGTTGAATGTGCTTTTCATCATGGCGATAGATAGAATAAGCTATGGCTCGCTAGATGGTCCTATTTGTATCTCCTCAAGTAACGAGTTACAACAATTACTTGCGTGCACATACATGTTCATACCCACACTATCTTCTACTGCCACCTACAACAAGTCGGCAACAACAGCTATCGACTGTGAATGAATGTACAGTGCACCGACAAAATCTTCGTAGATCAGGAACAGGAATTGTGTGGATCGATCAGTGTCGAGCAACTTCGTATTATCGCGTTTTCTGCAATCCAACGCTCTCTTCACCATCAGCTGGAGATGCCACACCGTCGTACGCGTCGTTGGTGCCAAGCCAATATTTCACGGTATCGGACGTCGCCGTCATGTCAAGGGTAGGCATTTCAGACATGCACGACTTGTCCAGAAGATCGAGGTCGCCGTTGTTGGCGACGTACGAAGCCAGCAGATCCATAGCACAAACCTTCGTGCCATCTGCATACGGAGTCGCACCCATCAACGCATGCGACGCGTAATCAAACGCGACGAGCTCCTTTCTGGGTGTGTCGAGCGCTTTAAACAACGACTCGGCGTATTTGTAAGGAGTGAGTGGGTCCAGTTTCCCGTTCATCAGAAGCACACTAGCTTGTTCGGGTAACGCAGCAGTCTTGTTCCAGTACTGGTCACGCGAGTAAAGGATCCCGTCCGCTTCGTAGTTGCCAACTCCATGCTCGTCACATCCTGGCGACTTTTCTTTCGAATAAGCGCAAAATGAGGGCAGGAAGATGAAGACGCCATCACTCGCAACGCTCGCGTTCGTAAACCTGTACATCAAATCGGCGTAGGAAGGCGTGGGCGTCTCCCACATTTCGGAGAAGACGACCAGATGTAGGATCAGATCCGAGGTACCGTGCGGATCGCTGTTCGTCCATGGGTAGGGTGCATTCTTGCGCTCGAAATAGTGCGTCAAAACATTGACGTCATTGGCATCGCAGCGATTGAGCCTGTACACCAACGGTGGAATCAGGAGTCGTAATGAACTATCCCCCAGCAAGCTGCCCAGCGTATACCGGATAGCATCAGATGGTTTGTCCTCTGTCCCGTTTAGTATCAGAGCAGCACATGTCGAATTGGGGTCGGTGTCGAAGCTTGAATAGGTATTGCGAAGCGTGGTCAACAAGTTGGTGAATTGGAAGTGAGAACCACAGTCCTTGTCTTGCTCACACAGATCCATGAAGTGCTCGCCGACTTCACCAGTGTCCGTGTCAGAGTCTGAGATGTCCGCCTTGTCCGCCTGAGTTCCTGAAGAGGTCACGATGCTGTCCAAGACGTATCCGGTCACATTGGACGGATTCAAGTGCATCAGACGCTCAACCACCATCGTTCCATAGCTCACGCCGTACACGATAGTGCTTGCACCGTTTGCATACTTGGAGATGAAGGTAGCAATGTCCATAGCAACGCTTGTGGTCGAGAACGAAGCAAGATCGCCATACTTCATGTGAAGTTCTTTAGCACAAGATGGAACCCACGAGGTATCCATCATGTCGCCGGATGAAGACCGCGTGGTATGGAGAGATGCACAATCGATTCGCGTACTGCGTCGAACGCCGCGAGGATCTATCGTATACACGTTGACTGATCCCTTCAGACTTGCGTGCAGTGCAACCATATCACCTTCCACTTCAGTGCACAAAAGTTTTCCATTAGCTTCAGACAAGCAGACACTATGTATGGCAAAAAAACTTCACGTACTGCCGCTGGAGGAGTCACCGGGTCCGCCTGCAAGCATCCATACGTTGGATGCCTCCTCCGCCTTGATTGACGTGGCAGGGAAGCGCTTCACAAACACGTCGATCGTGCGACGCGCCTTCGCCGAAGTTTTGCAGACGCCGGGATAACACATCGAAGCCTCGAAGGTCATGCACTCGGCATTGACATCGCTACCGTTGGCCACGCCCGGAACGGTGTAGGTCGGGCACTTGTACCACTTGTTTGGTAGCGGAGTGGAAGCAAGTGCCTTCGACGCTTGACTCACGAATCCGACCACCAAAAAGGTCAGCACGCAATGGAGCTGCATCCTAATTTGCTTCGGTGTTGTCGATGCCCACGCAATCGAAAAGTGGCGCATGTATTTGCGCGACGACAGCACGTGAAGTTTACGTGCGGAAACACTGGCTAGATAGACCGGCGTTGGATGGGATGAACGGCCTATCTGTGAGAAACAACAACGACGCCGCGTTGGGCAGCGTTTCTTGCACATCACAATCGTAAGGGAGCAGGAGAGACAAACACCAGCTGCGCTGTTGTCGCAACGTCGATTTGGTTTACGTCCATCGTGTTGATTCTCGTGTACGCTTCTATTCCCCTTATCCACGAAAAGCTCAGAGGTGCGGCTGCCTCGCAATGGAGGACAGGGCAAGACGACTTTAGTTGAAGCTGCCTTGTTTGTTGTGCCTTTTCACAAACCACTACTGCTACCATTTGTTGCACCGGCGTAGCTGCATGTTTGCGTCAGGCAGATGGATAGCTTCAGCTTTTGACCGGCTAGAAGGAGCTTGTCGGTAGTGGAATGAGCTGTAAAGAACAATCGCTCTTGTGCTAAGACACGATTCTGCCGACCAGGCGCCAGCGTCAAAGCACAGACGTTTGGTCATCGAGTTTGTGTCCAAACCCTCAGCCATTGCACACAAGCTACCGTTGGCAACATTCGTGTCTGACTTGCGAGAAGTGGCATACGATTGCGGCAGAGCAGTTAACAGACGTAGACCGTGTTGCCCAGCTCGTAATGAACGCGTGAATAAACAAGCGAGAGAGATGCCGTGAACAGGCGGAAGTGGTATTAGCTGTGCATTTCTACAGCAATGCTTTCGTCGCATCGCTACACCGATGACCGTAATTAGTGCGGATCATACTATTCATCAACCACCTATTATTAAGTCGCTCACAGGTATTAGAGCGGACCACAATATTAATGAAATCGCACTAATTATGGGCTATCATATTTAGTATGGACCGCACTAATTTTGAATGCGGAGAATTAGTCCGGATTTATAGTAACCGAAAGAGAGCAGTGTGTAATTACGTATTTAACTACATGATTTAAAGCCCAGTTGTTATGACTTTTGGCAACAGCCAAGGGCGATATAAAGTTGAAACGCTTAGAAGAAGGTTAAATGGAAAGTGAATATAATATCTAGCTAGGTTCTTAGTTCATCTCGTTGTCCTACTCGAAGCCTATCAATATCGACTCTACGATATCAGTAACACAACGATGAGTCGATCCCATCATTACACACAATCATGCAGTGTTGTCCTTGCCATGTGGTCATTAGTACCACATACAACGACATTACCAATAAGTTGGAACGGGATTTTCAGCGTAGTGGATGCGGTATTTACCGATAATTCGTTGCAGTTCCGGTGTCAATTGCGATTCGTGCCATCGACCACTGACATCAAGTGCCATGCCTCAACGAATCATAGACTTAAGAGCCGTATGTCAAGCCGCAACTGTCGCGCATCCCGTTCAACGCGCGTATGGCTGTGGCGGCGAGTTCCAAAAAGAAGCTTTTGACCGGGTTCTTTAACTTTCCCGGCCAAGAGCCGTTTTCACGCACGGTGTCTGACCAGGTGCCTTTTTTATCATACGCATCTTCTCGACCTTCCACAATCGGGTCCATTCGTCCTTGATCTTTTGAGATGAGGAAAGAGTCGGCAGGGTCTCTCTCTCTCTCTCTCTCTCTCTCTCTCTCTCTCTCTCTCTCTCTCTCTCTCTCTCTCTCTCTCTCTCTCTCTCTCTCTCTCTCTCTCTCTCTCTCTCTCTCTCTCTCTCTCTCTCTCTCTCTCTCTCTCTCTCTCTCTCTCTCTCTCTCTCTCTCTCTCTCTCTCTCTCTCTCGTGTTGGTCTTCAAGAGAACATCACGTAATTCGGGACAGTCGTCGTGGCCGGCACAGTCGTCCACATATATCACAGTACTTCGTCCAGCACTATCTTCCTTGAATGCGCGTGGCTCGCCAAACCATTGAGGTAATACCTGTAATAGTGTAAAAATATAATTTATATGGGGTACTTCAGATAATTCATGATACATGAGACACCAACCTTTTTATGATTCCATCCTTTAGGCCCAAATCGGTATGAAGCACCAGGTAAATTTTCTGGAAGTCCATCTATAAGGTATGACCGGCTTGGATTCTGGAAGATCATGATCGGTGCTCCAATTCGCGCACGCAAACCGCCCGTAATGTAGACCATCATGGTCACCCCGATACCACCCGACATGACATCGGCGTATTTAACCTCTGTTTCACCACGAAAACCAAGTGTACGACCGTTGTCGCAGATGATCACGAAATGAGTTTCGTCCATATTACAAAGCAGGTCCTCGTTCAGGTCTCCTGACTTGAAACCACGGCGCAACGTGCCCATTTGGTAAGCAACCGTTTTAACGATATGGTCCTGCTTCGCGGTCCTGACCATAAGCTTCCCGGTCTGTGCCCGATGGACTATGCCATGCACCTCCTATTGCAGCAAACAAATTCAATCAGTAAAGGTTTCGATGTACAAGTATAAATAAACTATATACCATGAACTGCTGAACCCAACGTGTCTTGATTTTGCCGACAATTTCGTTATCGTCGAATGGATCAGTGAAGTTGGAATTGTATAATGGCGCATCGTTCATGACAGTGCGAGCTTAATGACTGATTAGGGCTAAAGAAAACTTGACTCCAGCGGCCTTAAGCCGCATAAATTCGGACAGCAACTCGACGTACAGGTAGAATACCCATTCAGATCGGCGCCGTCCACTGCCAGCAACGGCCTTAAGGTTGACCCTCAGTCGCACTGATGGCTCAACTGCTGATATCGACTTTGGATTCGTACCGCCATATTCACTAACTTTATCGCGCATCTTCCCCCACCTTGTAATTTCGCTATGATTGGCCTGCGTACAGTCAATGTCAATAGGATTGTTTCAAGAAGCTCATTTCGATATACCTTGTAGTTTTCGCGGAACTTTGAGGGAAATTTGGCGATCGCACTATAGATCAAGCCTTGTTCATCATTCTGGTCTGCATCAGTTATCATCCAATTAACCACAGTGAGCCGCGACGTTATTGATACAACCTGTTAAAGCTTGCGCTTGTTGACGAGTTGGTCATCGTGATCGTGATTCTAATCTTCAATCTTCTGTTCTCCCTCTCCTACTTCTTCGTTGTCATCAAGTATCTCGTAATCTACATCGCCTGCTGGGGCATTAGCGCCGGCAGTACGTGCGAAAGCAGCTATAATCGGTGATGGAGAGCTCAACGCCTCGACACTGCTTTAAACCACCATCAAAGCACTTACACGGTCAAAATTAGAATAATAATGACGTCATTTTACTGTGCAGTATATTCATTACGAATGTTGTGAAATCCGTGCGCAGTCCCCACTATTTCTCAGCCTTCCAATTCACAACTTTTTTGGTACATATATAATGTGGACCGCACTAATTATGAACCCACTCTAATTCTTAACTCACACTAATTACGGTCATCGATGTACGGATTTTTTGCACCGAAAGTACGCTACATACGAAAGATAGCATCTTCTGCGACGTGGAGCAGAGTTCGATCATTAGGGCTCTCGAGCAACAGCTGACACGCAGGTATTGCTTTATGTTTCCAACCCGCGGACTCTGCGCTCCGGCTTATCTTCCGAAATATGACTCACACCTACTTTAAAATGGACGGATTCGTGCAGCTAATCCTCATTTGACACCAGCAGCACCTTCGTAAACTGTTTGTTTTCATAATTTGCAGCTCTACGTGCTCCGGCACAATGATACCTATTCCGGCGCTGCTGCGGACGAATCCCACCCGCGCGTGACGGTTCTTAACCCAAGCCGTGCTGCGTCCAGAAACAGAGTGCCCGAAGTGCCTGCTCACATCGTTTGCCCATCCGCATTGACGTTGGCTTTACTCCGAAAACTTTAATTTACTCATCATCTCTCGAAATGCAAAACGGTAAGTGCTACAGTCGAGGGCAAACCACACCCGCCTTATTGGTCGACAACGATACAGATGTTTACTCTTTGCAAGTTCGATGCACAACTGCTCTTATCACAGATGACAATCCATATGCAGTCGCTTACAATCGGTGTACCCATTGACACAGCCCGAGTCGAACTATCTCGTCATCTTAAAAACACATTTCTCTCCGACAATTCTCATTTGCACGTACATATACCTAGTTTCAACAACACCTTGGAACTCGGTCAACAGCAAGCAACCAGACGCTGACGCTAATGACAGGCTGGTGAGTATGTGCTTCTCGTATCTTGGTAAACGAAAAAGGTACCTCGGGTCTCATACATCAAGAAATGCAAGCATACTGCGCACTGGTAGCATATAGCTCGTATGCTAGACTTCTGTTTCAGCTAGGATTGCTGCACAATTTACTATATCTAAGGATATAATGGTGTCATAGGTAACTGCATCGATGAGTGTTCGAACGCTCATCTGGTAGCTCTTTCGCCTTGATCTATAGAAGGATACCTATTCACGCATCCACAAGCACACACAGATGATGTACCGTAAAAATGTCAACGATGAAAGAGTACGGTCCATCTGAGAAGTTTATATACATGGAGCGACGATACTTTGTACAAATTAGCCTCGCTTCTTATTTAATTGATAATAAAGTGGACGACGATGCGGCGTATCGTGATTACGTCCTTTCTGCCTTAAAAATGGACAGTATTGTTTTACTACATTGGCCACATCGGTGTCCGAATCAGTAATCTTAATCAGACGAGGTGACAGCCTTTAGTACGGTAATACGATAATGAGTCCACTGCGTCTTAGCCGAATAGTGAGAATCGGCTTGGCTGACTGCGCGGACTTTTAATCCATTTGTAGGAAGAAAAAGGCGCGACGGCATTGATAGGTCTTGTGTGACGATATACGCCTGTTTTATGTTTTTTGGCACGAATTGTGTCGGTTTAAATCTATCTAATAAATTAATATGTTTACAATTATTCTTGGGCAAGTCACACTTCGTGGATTGTTCAACTTTAAAAAATGATTCGCACCG